CCTCAATGGGGAAAAACTGAGAGCTTTCCCCCTGAGATCAGGAACACAACAGGGATGTCCACTGTCACTGCTGTTGCTTAACATACTGTTGGAAGTGCGAGCATCAGCAAACAGACAAGAAAAGGAAATCAAAGGCATCAAAATTGGCAAAGATGAAGTCAAACTTTCACTTTTTGCAAACGACATGATACTGCACATGGGAAACCTGACAGACTCCACCAAAAGTATGCTAGAACTGATACATGAATTCAGCAAAGTCGCAGGGTAGAAAATTAATGTAAAGAAATCAGTTGCATTTTTATACACCAATAATAAAGCAACGGAAAGAGAAATAAAGAAACCGATCCCATTCACAATTGCACTAAGAACCATAAAATACCTAGGAATAAACCTAAACAAAGATGTAAAAGATCTGTATGCTGAAAACTATAGAAAGCTTATGAAGGAAATTGAAGAAAATACAAAGAAATGGAAAAACACTCCATGATCATGGATTAGAAGAATAAATATTGTTAAAATGTCAATAAAATATTTTTAAAGGCAGAAGAGGAAAAATAGGAGAACAAACAAAAGAGGGGACAAACACAAATAAAATGGGAAATCTAATAACAATCTTATCAGGAATTACACTATATGTAAATGATCTAAATACAACACTTAAAAGACAAAGATTTTAAGATGGGCTTAAGAAAAACAACTATATTAGTTTTGCTTCCCAATATAAACACTGGGAGAGGGACAAAACATAAGAGACTCTTAGATATGGAGAACAAACAGAGGGTTACTGGAGGGGTTGTGGGATGGGGGGATGGGCTAAATGAGTAAGAGGCTTTAAGGAATCTACTCCTGAAATCATTGTTGCACTATATGCTAACTTAGATGTAAATTAAAAAAAAATTAAAGATTAAAAAAAGAAAAACAACGATAAGCAAAACTCTATTTGCAGTCTATAAGAAATTCACTTCAAATATAATGGTGTAAATGGGTGACAAGCAAAAGAATGAACAATGTGGATGAATCTTGAAAACATTGTGGTAAGTAAAAAATCCAGACACAAAAAGTCGCATATTGTATGATTCCACTTAGATGTACTAAGTAGACAAAGTCACAGACATAGGAATTGGAACAGAGATTGACAAGGGCTGGTGGCAAAGGGACATGGGAGTAATTATTTAATGTGTAGGGAGTTTCCATTTGGTATAATAACAGTGTTCTGGAAATGGATAGTGGTGATGATTATCTAAGATGGTAAATATACTTCATGCCACTGAATTATATGCTTTAGTGATGGTTAAAATGGTGAATTTTATGTAATGTAACCACATGAAAAGGTAGAAGAGGGGTGCCTGGGTGGCTCAATTAGTTGAGCACCTGACTTCAGCCCAGGTCATGATTTCACAGTTTGTGAGTTCAAGTCCCACATCGTGGTCTGTGCTGACACTGCAGAGCCTGGAACCTGCTTCAGATTCTGTGTTTCCTTCTCTCTCTCTGTCCCTCCCCCACTCACATTCTATTTCTCTCTCTCAAAAAATAAATAAAAACATAAAAAAGTAGAAGAATGAAAAATGTACTATGCAAACATTAATCAAAAGAAAATTTAAGTGGTTGTATTAGTTTCTAATTGCTGTTGTCATAAATGACCACAAACTTGGTATCTTAAGATAACATAAATTTATTATAATTCTGGAGGTCAGAAGTAAATAATCAGTCTCACCAGTATAAAGAAATAGGGGGGCATCCACCTACTCTATCTTCATCCAGAACTGGAACTCTGAATGCAGCTGATTTCTAAATATTGACCATGTATCCAGTAAATCTGGAATTTTAAAAAAAAATTTAGTTAACATACAGTGCAATCTTGTTTTCAGGAGTAGAATTTAGTGATTCATCACCTACGTACAACACCCAGTGGTCATCCCAACAAGTGTCCTCCTTAATACCCATCACCCATCTAGCCCATCCCCCACCCACCTCTCTCCATCAACCCTGTTTGTTCTCTAAAGAGTCTTTATGGTTTGTTTCCCTCTCTTCTCTCTCCCTCTATTTCCTATATGTTCATCTGTTTTCTTTATTAAATTTCACATATGAGGGAAATCATATGATATTTGTCTTCTCTGATTGCCTTATTTCACTTAGCATAATGCATTCTAACTCCCTCCATGTCACTGCAAATGGCAAGGAAACTTTTTAATTTGGATAATACATCTTTATATTATTTTTTATCTTCTGTGCACACACCTGTGTAATCTTGAAGCAATACAATTATTATTCTTATCCATTTCAGTGCTTATCACTTTGTTTTGCTTCATTTAATTGGTTGGTACCTCCAATTAAATAAATTCAATGCCATGCTGAATACAAATGGTCATAGGAAACATACTTGCATCATTTCCAATCAGAGAGAGGACTTTGAGTTCTCACCTTTAAAAATGATTGGCTAAGTGGTGATTGCTAAATATGCCTGTGTAAGTTCTAAGAAACAACCTTTTATATCTGATGAGTTTTTATTTTCATGATGAATTGTTGGTGTATTTTATCAAAAGCTTTGTCTGCACCTGTTGAGATTTCTTCATTTTTAAAATTTTAACTAAAGTACAATCATCTACATTGACATATTAGGTTCAGGTGAACAGTATAGTGATTCAACAATTACATGCATTATGAAATGCTCACTATATGAAGTGTAGTTATTTAGTGTCAGAAACAAAATTTTTACAATATTATTGACTATATTCCCTATGCTGTATTTTTCATCCCTGTGGCTCATTTATTTTCTAGCTCGAAGTTTATGCCTTTTAAGCTCTTTCATTTTTTTTTCAACATTTTTTTTATTTATTTTTGGGACAGAGAGAGACAGAGCATGAACGGGGGAGGGGCAGAGAGAGAGGGAGACACAGAATCGGAAACAGGCTCCAGGTTCCGAGCCATCAGCCCAGAGCCTGACGCGGGGCTCGAACTCACGGACCGCGAGATCGTGACCTGGCTGAAGTCGGACGCTTAACCGACTGCGCCACCCAGGCGCCCCTTAAGCTCTTTCATTTGCTTCACCCATCCCCACCTTCTTCCCCTCTGGCAACCACTAGTTTGTGAGATGGTCATTTTTTTTTTAACTTATTCTGTTAATGTATTGGATTATATTGATTGATTTTTAGTACTTTAAGCTACTCTGTTCTTCCTCTCCCCTGCAAAATCCAGTATGGTCATGATGTATTGTCCTTTTTATATACTGCTGAATCTTATTTGTGAATGTTTTGTTTAGAGATATACATCTAAGTTTATGTGAGACATCGTTACGTGCCTTTCCCATTCCATAAATTCCTTTCCAGGCTTTGGTGTCAATATTTTCCTAGCCTGATAAAATATTACTTCCTTTTTTTTTTTTATTATTCTCAAGAAAGGCTTGTGTAATTCTGGTGTGTGTGTGTTTTGTAAGTGTTTGGAGGAAATTGCCAATGAAGCCTCCTCAACGGACACATGTATACATTACAAGATGATTATCACTATGACATTAGCTAACACTTCCATCCCATAACATAGCTGCCTTTTTTATATGATGAGAACATCTTAGATCTACTCTCTTTGCCGCATTCAAGATGATACAGTATAGCTATGGTCACCATGCTGTACATTAGATCCCCAGAATGTATAATCTTAGAACTAACTATATATCTCTTAATCTTATACCTATAATCTTGACCAACACTTCACCATTTCTGCACCCCCAGACCTGACAGCCACCAATCTGCTCTCCATTTCTGTCAGTTTCCTCACACTTCAGTTGGGGGGTGATTTTTGATCACAGAGTCAATGCATTTAATGTATACATAAGGTGATACATATTTTCTACTTATCCTTCATCATTTTGGAAACTTGTATTTTTGGGGATTGTGTTCATTTCATCTACATTTTCTAATATATTGGCATACAATCGATCATCATGTTCTATTACTGATTTAAAGTCTGTAGGATGTGATGCCCTCCTGAAAATGATAATGGGTGCCCCCCGCTCTTGGCCATTTTGACTAGGATTTATAAATGTGATTGTTTTAAAAAATGAACACTTTGGGCTTTATTGATTCTTCTTTATTTTTTGTTTGTCCTCATTAGTAGCTACTCTTATCACTATGATTTCCTTCCTTCTACCTTCATTTGGAATAATTTGCTTCTTTCCTCCTCTAAATTCTTGGTATGATAACTTGGATCATTGACTTTCTAGGCTTTTTTCTTTTCCTTTCTTCTTCTTCTTAAAAAATTACATCCAAGTTAGTTAACATATAGTGTAAAAATGATTTCAGGAATAGAATTTAGTGATTCATCACTTACATATAACACCCAGTGCTCATCCCAACAAGTGTCCTCCTTAATGTCCCTTGCCCATTTAGCCCCCCACCTCCTCCCCTCCAGCAACCCTCAGTTTGTTCCCTGTATTTAAGAGTCTCTTATGGTTTGTCCCCCTCCCTGTTTATTATTATTTTTGCTTCCCTTCATGTTCATCTGTTTTGTATCTTAAAATTCCACATCAGTGAAATCATATATTTGTCTTTCTCTGACTGACTTAGGTCGCTTAGCATAATACCCTCCAGTTCCATCCACATAGTTGCAAATGGCAAGATTTCATTCTTTTTTGATTTCCGAGTAATACTCCAATATATATATATATATACACACACACACACACACACACACCCCACATCTTCTTTATCCATTCATCTATCAATGGACGTTTGGGCTCTTTACATACTTTGGCTATTGTTGATAGTGCTGCTGTAAACATTGGGGTGCATGTGTCCCTTTGAAACAACATACCTCTGTCCCTTGGCTAAATACCTAACTAGTACAATTGCTGGGTCATAGGTTAGTTCAATTTTTAGTTTTTTAAGGAAGCCTCCATACTGTTTTCCAGAGTGGCTGTACCAGTTTGCATTCCCACCAGCAATGCCAAAGAGATCCTCATTCTCCGCATCCTCGCCAACATTTCTTGTTGCCTGAGTTGATAATTTTAGGCTTTTTCTTTTCTAATATATTCATTCCTGGTTGTTAATTTTCCTGCACCATAGGTCTGATGTGTAACATTTGCATTATCATTCAGCGTAAGCATTTTCCCATTTCCATTTTGGGTTTCTCATTTCGCTCACGGATTATTGAGAAGTCTGTTGCTTTATTTCCAAAATGTAGGGGCTCTAGCTATCTTTGATGGCAGAATCCGGTCACTCCCAGAGGGTCCCAGGAGTTCTTACTGGTCTATGTTAGGAGTCCAGGCTGGCTGGGGCCATTAGGCGGCCTCTGTGGGCAGCTCCTGCGCCTCCTGGGGTCCTCGCGGTCCCCTCCCTGGAGTGTGGGCTGTGGGTCCTTCTTGGGCTAGCGGATGGCCAGAGCAGCATACACGCTGGGCTCTGCTGGAGGCTCCCCGGCTTGGGAGGAATGGGGTGCACTCGTCTCCCGTCTGAGCGTCAAGCGGTTCAGCTGGGCGTAGGTCACATCTGGGGGGGCGTCAGATGCGGCAGCCTGCAGTGGGCGGAGGGAGAGGGGAGGTGTGTGGTTGG